TAAGTTTCCACCCTAGAAAGCTAGAAAAAGAAGAGCAAATTAAATCCAAAGTAAGCAGAAGAAAAGAAATGATAAGAATTAGAGTAGAAATCAATGAAATTGAAGTCAGAAAATCAATAGAGGAAATTGATGAAACCAAAAGCAGGTTTTTGAAAACATCAATAAAGTTGATAAGCTTCTAGCTAGGCTAACTAAGAAGAAAAGAGAGGACACAAATTACTAGTATCAGAAATGAAAGAGAAGACATCACCATAGATCCTGTGGACATTAAAAAGATAATAAAGCAATACTATGAACAACTCTGTGCCATCAAATTTGATAACCTGCATGAAATGGACCAATTCCTTGAAAGACACAATTGGCCAAAACTCATGCAAGAAAAAATAGACTATCTGATAGGCCTAACTCTATTAAAGAAATTGAATCAATAATTAATAACCTTCCAAAACAGAAAGCATTGGGCCCAGATGGGTTCACTGGTGAATTCTACCAAACATTTAAGGAAGAAATTATACCAATACTCTGTAATCTCTTTCAGAGGATAGAAGCAGAGGGAATGCTTCCTGACTCATTCTATGAGGCCAGAATTACCCTATTACCAAAACCAGAGAAAGACATTAAAGAAAACTACAGACCATAGTGAACATAGGTGCAAAAGTCCTCAACAAAATATTAACAGATTGAATCCGACAATGTATGAAAAGAATTATACACCATGACCAAGTGAGATTTATCACAGGTATGCAAGGCTGATGTAATGTTCAAAAATCAGTTAATGTAATCCATCACATCAACAGGCTAAAAAAGAAAAATCACATGATCACATCAATAGACGCAGAAAAAGCATTTAAAATATACCACCTATTCATGATAAAAACTCTCAGTAAACTAGGAATAGAGGAGAACTTCCTCAACTTAATAAAGAATATCTACAAAAAACCTACAGCTAACATCAAACTTAATGGTGAGAAACTCAAAGCTAAGATCAGGAGCAAGGCAAAGATGTCCCCTTTCACCATTCCTTTTAACACCGCACTGGAAGTTGAAAGTATATGGTTTGGGGGCCAGCTCAGTGGCTTAGCAGTTAAGTGCACGCGCTCCACTACTGGCGGCCCGGGTTCGGACCCCGGGCGCCCACCAACGCACTGCTTCTCCGGCCATGCTGAGGCCGCATCCCACTTACAGCAACTAGAAGGATGTGCAACTATGACATACAACTGTCTACTGGCGCTTTGGGGAAGAAAAAAGGAGGAGGACTGGCAATAGATGTTAGCTCAGAGCCGGTCTTCCTCAGCAAAAAGAGGAGGAGTAGCACGGATGTTAGCTCAGGGCTGATGTCCCTCACAAAAAAAAAAAAAAAAAGAAAGTCTATGTATTGGGAAGGAGGACATAAAGCTGTCTTTCTTTGTAGATGACGTGATCGTCTATGTAGAAAATCTGAAAGAATCAATACAAAAACTCCTGGAACTAATAAGCAATTATGGCAGAGTTGCAGGATAAAAGATTAACGTACAAAAGCCAATTGATTTCCTTACATACCAGCAAAGAACAAGTGGAATTTAAAATTAAAAACAATGCCATTTACATTAGCACCCCCAAAAATGAAATACTTGGGTATAAATCTAACAAAATATGTACAAGATCTATATGCAGAAAACTACAAAACTGATGAATGAAATCAAAGAAGAACTAAATAAATGGAGAGATTTTCCATGTTCAAGGCAGGAAGACTCAATATTGTAAAGATGTCAGTTCTTCCCATCTTTATCTATAGATTCAATGCAATCCCAACCAAAATCCCAGCAAGTTATTTTGTGGATATCAACAAACTGATTCTAAAGTTTATGTGGAGAGGCAAAAGACCCAGAATAGCCAACCCAGTATTGAAGGAGAAGAACAAAGTTGGAAGACTGACACTACCCATCTTCAAACCTTACTATAAAGCTGCAGTAATGAAGATAGTGTGGTATAGGTGAAAAGAATAGACAAATCAATGAAACAGAATAGAGAGCCCAGAACCAGACTCACATAAATATATCAACTGATCTTTGACAAAGGAGCAAAGATAATACAAAGGAGCAAAGAGTCTTTTCAACAAATGGTTCTGAACAACTGGACGTCTACAGGCAAAGAAATGAATCTGGATACAGACCTTACACCTTCCACAAAAATCAACTCAAAATGGATCACAAACCTAAATGTAAAATGCAAAACTGTAAAACTCCTGTAGATAACATGGGAGGAAACATAGATGACCTTGGGTATGGTGATGACTTTTTAGATACAACACCAAAGATACAATTCATGAAAGAAATAATAGATAAACTAGACTTCATTAAAATTGAAAACTTCTGCACAGTGCAAGACAATGTCAAGAGAATGAGATATGAGAATATAAGCCACAAACTTAGAGAAAATATTTGCAAAAGACACATCTGATAAAGGATTATTGTACAAAGAACTCTTAAAACTCAACAATAAGAAAACAAACAACCGGGGCCGGCCTGGGGGCGCAAGCGGTTAAGTGCTCGCACTCCGCTGCGGCGGCCCAGGGTTCGCCGGTTCGGATCCCGGGTGCGCACTGACGCACTGCTTGGCAAGCCATGCTGTGGCAGTGTCCCATATAAAGTGGAGGAAGATGGGCACGGATGTTAGCCCAGGGCCAGTCTTCCTCAGCAAAAAAAAGAGGAAGATTGGCAGATGTTAGCACAGGGCTGATCTCACAAAAAAAAAAAAAAGAAAGAAAACAAACAACCCAATTAAAAAATGAGCCAAAGACCTTACCAGACACCTCACCAAAGAAAACATACAGATGGCGAATAAGCACATGAAAAGATGCTCTGTGTTATATGTCATCAGGGAAATGCAAATTAAAACGAGATAACTATTACACAATTGTTAGAATGGCCAAAATCTAGAACACTGACAACACCAAATGCGGATGAGGATGTGCAGCAGGAACTCGCATTCATTGCTGGTGGGAATGCAAATGGTACAGCCACTTTGGAAGACAGTTTGGCAGTTTATTACAAAACTAAACATAGTCTTACCATGTGATCCAGCAATCACGCTCCTCGGTATTTACCCAAAGAAGTTAAAAACTTATGTCCACACAAAAACCTGCACGTGCATATATATAGAAGCTTTATTCATAATTGCCAAAACTTGGAAGCAACCAAGATGTCCTTTAGAAGGTGAATGGATAGACTGTAGTACATCCAGACAATGGAGTATTATTCAGCACTAAAAAGAAATGAGCTGTCAAGCCATGAAAAGACATAAAGAAAACTTAAATGCCTATTACTATGTGAAAGCAGCCAATCTGAGAATACTGTATGATTCCAACTGTATGACATTCTGGAAAAGGCAAAGCTATGGAGACAGTAAAAAGATCAGTGGGTTGGGTGGGGGGAGGGATGAATAGGTGGAGCACAGAGGTCTTTTTAGGGCAGTGAAACTATTCTGCATGATGCTGTAATGATGGATACATGTTATTATACATTTGTCCAAACCAGGAGAATGAACACCAAGAGTGAACCCTAATGCAAACTGTGGACTTGGGACAAATCTGATGTGTCATTGTAGGTTCATCAGTTGTAATAAATGTACCACTCTGGTGGGAGATGTTGATTGTGGGAGAGGCTGTGCATGTGTTGGGCAGAGGGCATATGGGAAATCTCTGTACTTCTCCTTAGTTTCGCTGTGAACCTTAAACTGCTCTAAAGAAATAAAGTCTTAAAAAAAATTTTTTTTGAAAGCTGTGGCATCCAAAAAAAGTGTGTGGCTGCCAAGGACCTGAGTGATGATGGCAGGTCTAGGGAGAAAGGTGTGAGCACCCGACTGAGTCCTGAGCTTACGTCCCAAGCCTGCCTCCTGCTAGGGACATGACTTTGGCATCGATTTCCTCATCAACAAAATGAGAGCTGCAATACCTAGTTTGCAGGGTGGGTGTGAGAACTAATGATTAGCAGTAATGTTTGTGATCCCATTGTGTGGAACCTGACATGGCTGCCCAAAACTGGTAGCTAATATTAGTAGCAGTGCTGGCAGTGAAAATGGAAAGAAATAGAGGAAAAAGAGAAGAGAAAAAGAACGTTTTTTGTGTCCACTTCTTGTGGTTTTTCAGTACTTCAAAAAAAATTAGTAAATCACTCATTAAGATGGCTACTATAAAAAAACAACAGAAAATAATAACAAGTGTTGGCAAGGATGTGGAGAAATTGGAACCCTTGTGCACTGTTGATAGGAATGTAAAATAGTACAACCGCTATGGAACACAGTCTGGAGGTTCCTCAAAACATTCACAATAGAACTACAGTGTGATCCAGCACTCCCACTTGTGGGTATACATATATCCAAAAGAAGTGAAAGCAGGGTCTTGAAGAAATAATTGCACATTCATATTTGTAGCAGCAATATTCACAATAGCCAAGAGGTGGAAGCAACCCACATGTCCATCAACGGATGAATGGATAAAGGAAATGTGGTACAGTGGAATATTCAGCCTTAAAAAGGAAGGAAATTCTGACTTATGCTACAACATGGATGAATCTTGAGGACATTATGCTAATTGAAATAAGCCAGTCACAAAAGACAAATACTGTATGATCCCACTTATATGAGGGACCTAGAGTAGTCAAACTCAGACAGACAGAAAGTGAAACGGTGGTTACTGAGGGCAGGGGGCAAAGGCAGTTACTGTTGAAGGGTATAGAGTTTCAGATGTGCAAGGTGAAAAAGTTCTGGAGGTCTGTTTCACAACAATGTGAATATATTTAACACTACTGAACTGTACACTTAAAAATGGTTAAAGTGGTAAATTTTCTGTTATCTTTTTTTACCACAACAAAAAATATTAGATCATTTTTATCACCACTAGATTGTATAGGCGGGCCACAGCAAATGGGCTGTTCTCAAGGCTGAGAAGGCACCGCTCGTGTGTACAGCACCGCTCGTGTGTACACACCATGTTTGTCTAATTAATCTTTGTTTCCTCCCAGTAATGCCATCGGTCCCCTGGTAGCTTTGTGGCTGATTTACCAACAAGGCGCAGTCCTGCAGGAAGCGGTTACCCCCGTCTGGCTGCTGTTTTACGGAGGAGTTGGAATTTGTACAGGTCTCTGGATTTGGGGGAGAAGAGTGATCCAGACCATGGGGAAAGACCTCACTCCCATCACACCGTCAAGGTGAGCCAGAGGGTCAGGCTGGATCGGCAGGCTTGTCCGAGGAGGCCTGCCGCAGAGACTGGCTTGATGTGTCTGAAAGCCCCCGCATGCTCTCCTGCCTCGACCCCCTCAGCACAGCCACTGCACAGCAGGGGTCACAGTGAGGAGGGCGCAGAGGATAGAATGCCCCCCACCTGTGCTGCACCCGTCACCGCCCTCCTGGGTGCACTGCTCGGCCCCCAGCCACAGTGGCACTGAGACGAGGGAGAGAAAGCGAGAGGGATGGGAAGGTGGAGGCAGGAGGAGCTGAAGCAGAGCAGGAGGGAAGAGAAGAGGAAGAGCCCACTCTGCAGCCCACAGTCTACGCGGCTGGTGGTCTTAGCCCCATGTGAGGCCCAGAGAGCACGTGGGGATGGGAGGGATGCACACCGCGCCCCGGGCCCAGGGTCTGCCTTTCTCGAAAATTCTCTGCCACGCCGGCCCACGCACTGGAGGGAAGCACCTCTCACCTGCCACCCCACTGAGGTTACCTTGTGCATCCTTCCTGGAGCTCAGCCAGGCGGGAGGGGGCCCTGCAGGTGTGAGTGGCATCTGGAGACTTCTCCCACGTGATTTTCCATGTAGTCCTTCTGTTGTGGATCCTTTAGATAAATTAGGGGTTAATAAACTTAGCAGGGAACTTTCAGAATATATCTAAAACTTGGAACACCTATTGTAAGAAATCTTTTCCACCTTGAAAGTTTTCCCCCCTGAAATTCATCTTAATGAAAGTTTCTTTTATAACATTGACTTGAAGAAAAATTAGTAATCTGAGAAAAAAGTCACTCTTGGTAATAAGTGCACCTTTTAAATACGAGAGTATCGTTTTTCCTACGCCACTTCAGCAATGACTAAGTTACTATTTTTTGCACAGCAAGAATTTCTGACCCAGTTACTGCAGTGCGTGGTTTTTGAAAACATCTCAGAAAAACAAGGCTGTTTGGGGCTGTAGACAGCATAGTGCCAAGTCCCAGTGTGAACTGGGGCCCGTGTGCGGCAGTGCGTGTTCTGTTCACGTCCGGCCCCGTCAGCAGTGCAGTCGCCCGGGAGAGTGTCCAGGTGGGACGGCACCGGGGTGTCCGTGGGCGGCGCGGAGCGCCCGTGACGTGTCTGTTCTCCCCGCAGCGGCTTCACCATTGAGCTGGCCTCGGCATTCACCGTGGTGATCGCCTCCAACGTCGGGCTTCCCGTCAGCACCACGCACTGCAAGGTAGGCGCCGCCTGCCGGGCTCGGGCCGCCGCGCTCCGTGCGGTCGCCGCCGAGCCAGCCCGGGCTGGGCTGGCTCCGCCAGAGCGGGCTTGCATGTGGCGTGGGCCTCGCTCCCCGGCCCGCTGACCCTTCCTGCTCGGCAGTGACACCCTCTGTGGTGCAGACTCGGCGCTCTCGGCGCGGGCGTGGGGCAGCGTTCCCGCCTTCCCGTGGCTCCGCGCGCGCCGGCTGTCCTGCGTCTCCCTCGTGGGCTCCACAGTGGGCTCTGCGTGGAAGTCGTGAGTGCGCTCACCACATTGGTAGGCTCAAGCGGGGGCCTGCCACTCCGTTCCAGCCCACTGCGGGGGCTGGGAGTTGACAGTGGAACTAGAGATGAGCAGAAGTCATCTCAGTGGGATTGTAAGACAGTTGTTTCCGTTCTGTTTCCTGATATGATGGTCACAGTGGCTAGATTGCCTTGGAGTGAGTTCTGAATGAGGGGTATTGCTCGATATGGACCACTGCCAACAACTCAGGGCTGTGCAGGAGGCACTCCTTGTCGTGGTGTGGGGCTGGTGGAGCTGTAAGGAACCTCAGAGATTCATGAAGAGGAAACAGGATCTGGAAAGGAAACAGGGAGTTATCCGAGGTCACCCAGGGTGGAGCCAGGACTAGAACCCAGGTCTGCCCAGTATCTGGAGAGAATTCTAAAGCATCTTCAGTGGGCCTCCTAGCTACAAAAATATTCACTAACTTCAACAAAGCAAAAGGCACTTCCAGATTTTTCCTAGGTTCATTTGTTCGTATCATTCAAGAAAAACTCATTTGTTCCTCCTGTGTGTGAGGTACTGTTCTCCGCTCCTGGGGAACCGCAGCGACGGCGACAGAGATGGCATCTACATTGACACACAATTAAACACCCCAACCGGTGTGTTATAAACAAACACCACTAATGTGAATGGCCTAGTGCCTGGCGTGCTAAGGCCAGGGAGCGTTCGTGAGTATGCTGAGTGGGCCAGCTGATGAGCTGGAGCTCTACAGCACGCGGGGTCAGCCTCAGGGGAAAGAGGTGTTTTTGTTTTTGCCTTTTTTGCTGCAGTAGAAAGACGGTACAGTATAGAAAAACCTCAGTTTCCACAAATTTTCGTTATAAAAATCACTTCCACTTCCACTGAGTATATACAGAGTGCCAGGCACTGTTTTCAGTCCTTTATACATGCACAGTATGTCATTTAACCCCCACAGCTACCCTGTGAAATTGGTGCTGCAATTCCCAATTTACAGATGAGAAAAATGAGGCTTCCAGAGTTAGGTCACTTCCCCAAGATCACACGTGAAGCATGTGATAGAAGCAGGGTACAGACCTTCACTGCGTGCCCTATTCCTCATAGTGGTAGTCCTCATAATGGTCCTCATGGTCCCAACCACGGCGAGGTGTGTGGGGCAGGTGCTCTTTGCTGGGCGCTGTTCTCAGTGTCCTGTGAATATTAACTCACTTCATCCTCCAGGAACCTTTGGAGGTGAGTGCTAACGTTACCCGGTTTTTCCCATGAGGAAACTGAAGCCTGGAAAGGTTGAGTCCCTTGCTCAAGATCACGCAGCTAGGGAGTGGCCAGACTGAGGGGCCAGCATGGCAGTGCTTCCTGGAGGCGGCTCCCCAGCATTCTGCCCCCCAGCCCCTGAGTACAAAGGGGGAGGGCAGGGAAGGTGCCAGGGCACCTGCTGGTCGTTCACGGTTATGCTTCTAACTTCGTTTGTTTAAAAATTAAGGGAGAAGCACATGTTCATTAAAATATTTCAAACAATACAAAACTCCGTGGACTAGGAAATCATCTTCCCCATACTCCCCCTCAACTCCAGTCTGCTGCGATGTGAGGAGCTTAGAGGAAATGCACGTCACTAAGTATATTGCTTCCCCAGGAGATAGGCTTTGAAATTTTCTGTAGGCATAAGTGGTCTTTTGGGCTGTTTTTAAATAAATGTTACACCATCCTTTATAATGATTAACCTTGCACATAAGCAAGCCTAGTGAAGGCACACTCTTTCACACCAGTTGAAAGGTCTCTGGAGAAAACAAGACAGGTTTGCTTTTTCTAGGTTGTTATTGTACTTACCCAGCTATATTAGCAATCTAACCTATACTAACTTAGAACTGACGATACTAATGTTGCTAATAATGCCAACCTCTATGATAAAACTTAGAGAAATAGGTGAAAAGTATAAATGCCTGTAAAAAACTACACTGTTATATTTTTATCTTTAAATGTCATTTCCCCAACATTTATATTTATACTATAATAAGGAGGTGCTACTATGGGATTTATATCCAGTTCATACAGGACCTTAGTGAATAAATGTGTATGTTATCTTCATCCTAAAATATCTATACAGGTTATATGATGGGTTCTGTTTCCTTAGAGCTGATGATAAGTGTGTTAGGGTAGTGCATTGGCACTTAAAACAAGTCTCCTTATCGTGGGACCACAGTGGCTGTCATCTATCAGATAGACCTGAGACAGAGCTCAACTTGGATTCTAGGCAGTTTGTCCAGTATCACTGACCATGGACTTCTGGGCAGAGCCCGGAGTTGGTCACTGCAGTAGCGGAAGGACAGAGGCCTGGCTCTCCAGAACTGGCAGCAGACAGGAGAGCAAAGGTCGGATCCCAGGAATGCTGAGCAGGGTTCAGAGTGGCCATCGCCCCATAACCCTTACTGTCTTGTACCACGTATTTCTTCTCCTGTGACAGTCCCCAAATGGCAAATGTGGGATGAAATATGAGACACATGGGATGGCATTAAGAATGAGGCCCTGTGTGACCAAAGCCATGAATCTGGAAGCATTCAAAGGGTGTTGATGTCCACATGAAATCATAACTGAAGCCCATCGTATTTTAGGGAATAATCATACCCTGCGTTTGACTTTTCCAGCTTTCTGCTTGCTCTCCCATCCATGTGTTAGGTTGCTTGCTTAGATTAGAGCCACCTCCATCAGAAGGTGGGCAAAAGTTAGGAACTTGGCAGGAAAAAAGATGGAAACTATTGTTGAAAATGAGCTTTTGAATTTATCTGGGTAGCTTTCATTTATTCATGCTTCCTTCTAAGTATACATAGCTAAGTGCATAGTTTTAAATTTTATTGTATCCTATTTAAAACATTTATAAAACTCCATTATGTTGAGTGCTATAAATGTTAGCTGAAGGTATAATTTGGAAAAGAATAATTGGAAAAATCATGTTGTCACATTTTATACCAGAAGACATGCATAACACAGTCTCCTTTGATTATAAGTTTCACTTTCTCTAAGCATTTCAGTGTTATACATTTTTGTATTTCATATCAGAGGGCTCAGTCTGTTAAATATTTTCCTGGGATAATATCTCTGGTTAAAGTCAAAAGCCTTGAATTAAAGAAATAGAAACGAGTCTTGAAAATAAAATAAAATAAAAATGTATTTTTTATTTTCCAGACTCAGATGTATGTTTCAGTAATTTGTGAATTGCTCTTCCCCCCGTGAACCTTGATCCAGGCTGGCCTTCAGCCCTAGCATACCCCAGACAGGGGCCGCTACTGAACACACACACTTGTCCGTGAGCTCTTCGGTAGGACTTCAGAGTGGGGTTCTCCAGAATGTTTTAATTCCATGTTGAGGTGGTTTGGGATCATTCTTTTTTGTGAGTTGCCCACATTGTTCATCTCCATTGATGACATAGATGATTACTCAACTAGCCTTTGGATCTGGAACTTCTTCTAGGAAATACTACTGATGTAAAAATTCAGGATTATAATTCTAATTTAATTTTCTGGTTCCTGCTCTTTGGATTCCCTGCTGTTCAACAACTCTACTGCTGTCAGTGCCCGATGGCGGCCTTCAGCTGGAGACATGCTCAGCCTATGAAGAGGGAGGTTAGAGCACAGCAAAGAATACCATTTATATCAACAAAACACAGAATCATTAGTGAAGACATAGCACTCCGGGTCCTTTGTGATCCAAATAACATAGCAACGAAAAAAGAGGCAAAAGCTCTTAGAACTCAGAAATTAATATGTCTAAGTCTATGACAAATGAAGAAGACAAAAAGTACTTAGGAATATCAAGTATTTGAACAATAGATTTAGAGCAGTATAATTAATAAAGGTATATCAAAGTTTTACCCTACTGATCATATGCCTTCTTGTCAAGTGTCGTGAAACACTTAGAAAAATTAATCATAAATTCAGAAGGCCACAATAAAAATCACTATAAAATTTATAAAATAAGAACAGAAGTTGTGCTAAACACTCTCTAGTCACAAGGAAATTAAACTAGAAATTTATTATATGTTGAAAAAAGGAAGTATGTCCCCTTGGACATTTTTAAATGCTCTTTTTATGTAACAGTTGAATCAAGGAGTTTAAAAATTACAATGATAGCTTTCTTGGGGGAAAAAAAAACCCATATTTGTGTGTGTGTGTGTGTGTGTGTGTGGGTACATACCAAAAGCTATGGCAGCCAGAGTTATTCTCAGATGAAACTTCATATCTTTGAATTTTTTTTTTTTTGTGAGGAAGATCAGCCCTGAGCTAACATCCATGCTAATCCTCCTCTTTTTGCTGAGGAAGACTGGCTCTGAGCTAACATCTATTGCCAGTCCTCCTCCTTTTTTTTTCCCCCAAAGCCCCAGTAGATAGTTGTGTGTCATAGTTGCACATCCTTCTAGTTGCTGTATGTGGGACGCGGCCTCAGCATGGCCAGAGAAGCGGCGCATCGGTGCATGCCCAGGATCTGAACCCAGGCCGCCAGTATCGGAGCACGCGCACTTAACTGCCAAGCCACGGGGCCGGCCCTCTTTAAAAGGTTTAATTGAGCAAAGGGAAAATAAAAGAGCCAGACATTAAAATTAGGATTTTATAAAAAGTGCAGAACAATAAAAATTCTGAGGAAACGATAAGAGGGATGTAATAAGTATAAAAGCAAAATAAATTTAAAAAACCAAAAATAGTGAAGGGGAACAAGAGAAGAAAGTAGTTACTAATAAAATAATATCAAATCACATTACGAAAAAGAAGGGAGGAGAATTAAGTAGAAGGAGAAAGATATCATAACAACAGATATAAAGGAGAATTTTTAAATTATAAAAGAGACCATACGGCTATATGCTAAGGATTTGAAAACCTCTGTGAAATGAGTTATTTTCTGCAAAAATATACATGACAAATAAATACTGACAGAAAAAGTGGAAACCCTGACCAGAGGAATGGGAAGAAATTAAGGAAGTTCTCCGAAAACAATTCTTCTCACCTGAAAAAGCAAAAAGGAAGGGGATAGTGCTGACTCTAGTTCTAGATGGATTCATTAGTTCATCTTTTCCATCTTAAAAGAACAGATGATTGTCATGTTGCATAAACTTGCCACAATGTAGGAGAAAAAATAAAACAGGAAACTCTCCAATTTGTTTTATAAAGCATATACTAAGTAACCCTAATACCGAAACTTGATTTAAACCATCACAATGAAAGCTATATTTACATATGAATATTGATATAAAACTTTAAGTAAGATGCTAGTAAATGACATCAACAATATTATAAAAGAACATTTCAGCAGGACCAAATTGATCCTCTGGATTACCAGAAAGCAGGCTCTGAACAGGGCAGGGCTTGTCATCCGCCACCAGCACCTACAGAGGGCTGGCTCCTTACAGGCTCTCAGCAGGTACTGAGTGAATCCCAAGAAGGTATACAGACATCTTCAATATAATATGGCTTAGCAATCCATTACAAAACAACAACAAATGAACATCTATTGAGATATATGCCGAAAAGACATTTGACAAAATTCAGCAGGTGTTTCTAAAACACTACTAGATTTCAGTAAAAATGACTAAGTCCACGATAAAAATACAAAAATCGAGAGCTTGTCTGTCAGCAATAGCCAGTAAGAAAATGTAATAAAAACAAGAACACCTCCAGAATTGCAGCAAAAATAGAAGGTATTTAAGAATAATCCTAATAAGTGTGAGTGATATATTTGAAAAAAGCACAAAACTTTGCTCAGAGGTAAAAGAAAACCTGAATATAAGACATACTGTGTTATTGGATGGGAAAACTCGATTTTCTAAATCGAGTCAGTTTTCTTCAAATACAACCCCAACCAAATTTTTCTCATAACTTTACAAGATGAGACTCAAGTTAATCTGGTAGGTTAAATTAGCAAAACATGAAATGATCTAAAAAGAAAAGTGATGAGGAGGGACTGGCCTTCCCAGATAGAAAGTACGTTATAAGGAAACAAGAGTTGAAAATAGATTGGGGTGGGGGTGGGGGTGGGGGGGCGACCCCATGGCGTAGCAGTTAAGTGTGAGCGCTCCGCTGCTGGCTGCCTGGGTTCGGATCCTGGGCGCACACCGACGCACCGCTTCTCTGGCCATGCTGAGGTGGTGTCTCTCATAAAGTGGAGGAAGATGGGCACGGATGTTAGCTCAGAGCCAGTCTTCCTCAGCAAAAAGAGGAGGATTAGCATGGATGTTAGCTCAGGGCTGATCTTCCTCACCAAAAAAAAAAGAAAGAAAGAAAATAGATGAGGGGGGGTGAGGGATGGGGAATTAGTGTTAACAGGTACTGAATTTCAGTTTGGGATGATGAAAAAGTTCTGGAGATGGATGGTGATGATGGTTGCAAAACAATGTGCACGTACTTTAATGTCACTAAATTAGTACTCTTAAAAATGGCTAAAATGATAAATTTTATGTATATTTTGCCACAATAATTTAAAAAATTAGATACAGGCATGCTCTGCATAATAACATTTTGGTCAATGACAGATGGTCGTCCCATAAGATGAGTACCGTATAGCCTAGGTGCGTAGTAGGCTGTACCATCTAAGTTTGTGTAAGTACTAGGGGAGGACCCTACCCTTCTGGATCCAAGTAGGAGGGACTCTACCTTTCTAGGTTCTTATGGCTGATCTAAGAATTAAGTTGACATGAGACAGATTAACAGGAGAAAATCAAACAAAAGTTTGATAACATGTATACATGGGAGAAACTCAGGAGGACAACTGAGTGACTCACCAAAATGGCTGAAGCCCTCACCTTAAATACCATCCTCAAAGAAGATGTTGGGGGTGTGGAGAGTCAGGGACTTCAAAGGGAAGGAAGGCAATTCACAGGTAGGTGAAAAGGAGCAAACGTTTGGAAAACAAGTGTTTGGCTACGCAGAAACAGAACACAGAGGAGCCCAACAAACAGGCTTTTCTATATCCCTTCCTGTCCACCACCTAGTTCATGTGATGCTAAGGTGAGAGCTCGCTTCCCGAGACAGGTTTTTTTATCTGAATTCTTTTAGGCAGTTAACGGGGGGGGGGGGGGGGGCGGTAACAAGAAAAACTTTCTGAGTCTTCTGTTTCTTAAAAATAATCAGCCTAAAATAACCCTCATGTTCAAGAAACACATTTTCGGGTGGCAAATTTGTTTCCCTTCAGTGTACTCTGTGACGTGCGCGCAAGAATGGAATCCCCTCACGATGCATTTCTCAGAACATAGCCCTGTCGTTAAGTGACGCATGACTGTACTTGCATAAAAACAGTAGATAGGCCAGAGATAGAACCTATTATGTCTGAGCATCTAGTTGGAGGAAGGGAAAATTTAACCAGTAAGTGATGTTGGATAGTTGACTATCAATCTAGAAAAACAAAATCAGACCTACAACTCTCACAATATATGAACATATATCTGATGGCTTAAGTAGTATTTTTTAAATATTTTAAAATTTAGAATAAAATAGGATTTTATTTTAGAAAATTTAGAATAAAATAGAATTGAATATTTACCAAATATTCAAGCTAAAGATAAATCAGAAGAAAAGTGCAGCTTATTTTATTGCATGAAATTAGAAACTTGAAAGTGAAACAGCAAAATACTGGATTGAGAAAATATTTGCATTAAATATCAGAGTTGAATATCATTATTCAATAAAGGCCACACATAAATAAGAGACACATTTAGCCTCCAATATGAGCAAATGGACAAAATGGGCAAAATGCCCTTCCAATGGGCAAAACACACAGAGTCAATTGTGTGTAAAGACTAGAGGGAGTAAAATTGGTTAAATTAATAAAAGAAAGTTCAGCCTTAGTAGTAATTAAAGATATGCAAATTAAAGCCACCATGACTTGTTTTTGTTGGTTGGTTAGCAAAAAAGAACAATTTACAGGATTATTGCAGTGTGCTTCAGCTTTCATTTTTAGGATACTTAAAGTTGTGTTTTTTTCCTTTTTAAACTTTCAACAAACCATAAAATGAACTGTGAGTGTTTAGGAAAATATTTACATCAGTGTTAATATTCTGATTTTTAAGTATCTCTGTCATTTCGTGAGGCATGATTGACAGTTTAGATCCCATAATATTTATGTTCCATTTTATTTTATTTTTTCAATTAGCTAAAGTACAAGGACTGCAAGGCAGTTTGAGATGGTGGGGAAAACCAGTTTAAAATGAAGAGGCCTGAGTTCTAGTTCTCAGTCCGCCGTGACTTACAGTATCTTCTCGGGCCCCTGAGCCCTCTGGGGTCCGGTTTATCCTCTGTGAAATGAGTGATGATGTGGATTAGATATTCTCAGAGATCTTCTCCACTCCAACATTTCATAATGCTGTTGTTCTAGGAGAAGGATCCATTATTGCCATTTCCAGATGTAATCGCAGCGGGTTCACTGTTGTAGTAAGCGATATCCTACATGGGGAATATTTAAAACAAGGGCATTCATAGTTAGTTTATAAGGTGTAGAGAGAATAGAAAATGTTCAGTTAGTTCAAGTTCCACACAAATAAGCAAAGTACAGGTGGAAAAGTGCATCAGAACTGTACACTGAATAGAATAATCCTAAAATAATTATACCTAGAATATAACCTATTTTTAAAACTTTTAGCAAATTTAGGAGAAAGAACTGGTAATTTTATAATGTAGTTTGTTTCTGAGATTGGCCAGTTTACACTGGTTGAATGTACACCTTGTACCTCACCTTTAAATCTGTGGGCCTCCATTTTTACATTATGCTTGTGCTCCTCCAGGTGGGCTCGGTGGTGGCCGTGGGCTGGATCCGCTCCCGGAAGGCCGTGGACTGGCGCCTCTTCCGGAACATCTTTGTGGCCTGGTTTGTGACTGTCCCTGTGGCTGGGTTGTTCAGTGCTGCTATCATGGCGCTCCTCATGTACGGGATCCTTCCATATGTGTGATTTGTCTTCTTCCCGCCGGTAAACAGGGGTAGTCTGCTGTGGGTCTGTGTGAGAGGCGTGTACCCACACTTCACCCCCGTACGTGCGTCCTGCCCACACACAGGCTGTCTCCCAGCCAGCTTCTCCGTGTCCCTTTCAGGTGGTTCCAAACCACACTGTTCACCTAGGCTGTAGAGGGTCATCCTTCAGAGCTAACTTAACTACTGTACATACTAATGTGTGTTAAACTGGTGTCGTGGTGATATAACGTGGTGCAGTTACTTATATATTAAATATATATTGTATACTTAGAATAGGTAGCATTATTTGAGACATATTCAAAATGGGAGTGGAGATAATTGCCTAGAATTCAATATTCAAAAATCTTTGAACATAATGATTTCAGTGGCAAATTTTAAGAACCTTTTAAAAGGAAAGTGTAGATTGGAAAATGATATTTTTCCCATTTAATATACTGTAAGATAAGTGAGATACAGGATGGATGAAACAAATTTGGGAAGGTGTACGTACGTCAGCGTGCTATTGAATAATACTGGAGCAGGAGTTCACAAGTGCTTTCACTGAAGAATTCGTTCCTATACTGTGTATTGATTATGTAATATATCATAATTGCTTCTGTAAATACTTAAAACTGTAATTTTTTAATGGTGTGCTTCCCTTATACTTTTTTGATCAGAGGATTTTGGAAAGTACCAAAGAAGCAGGGGAATAGTTTGCCAGTATTATATCTTCATATTGTCTGTCTCCCCTTCTCATTAATCCTACCCTTAACCTGGGATGTGGCAACACCCTGCTCTGACCTGCCCCGGAGCAGTGTGGATGGTGAGGCACCAGCCCCCACTGTGTGCACGTCCCACTGTGGATTCCCCACCCCACCCCCCACAGCTGCCACATCCCAGAGGCTGGCTGGCCTTGCATCGGCCCTTCGTCGTCGTCCGTGTGTAGAATGTACAGATGTAAGGGCGTGTGGTCAAGCACTACATTTCAAGTCCAGTGCACATTGTCACCCCCATTCTCCCCTGCAGCCTGAGGAACACGATTCTCGTCTCAAACACTGAGGTGAGAGCTTTGAGATTTTAGAAACTCGTGGGGCGGGGAGTTCAAATATTAGACAATACACTGGATTTGAGGATTTCCTTGAGGCCTTTACTAAGCTGAACATTGATGCTCTGCTGTAGTCCCAGCAGAGTCGTCTTTTTTGATAGCGGGAGGGAAGAAGTACGACTAATGTTAGAGCCTGAAACTATGGAAATGCTGCTAAAATTTTTATATTGACAAACATTTTCTTGGTACTTCATTGTGATTTTTCATTAATCAACCATATTAAATTTATAATAAAAAATGCCCCTCAAAAGTTTGTTTCTGGAGTCTTTTTCTAAATATCTATATAATGTTTTTTGTTCAGAGTTTGGACAAAAACTATAATTTGGTTACTTCTACTTTTCAAATACCTTTTTTTTTCTTGTTTTATTACTATTACATGTTTGTGCAGAAAATACACGAGTAAGGAAACGGAAGAATGACTGACACAGTGCAGCATCCAGAAATTCCGTGTTAACACACACGCACGGATCCTTCATTAACGGACTGTCTGGCGAGGGCTTGTCCTGGAAGGGGTTTTTGTAAAGGGAGGACCACTTCTGTGCTCAGCCTCTCCCACTTCACTCTTGACTTAGCCAGACTCCGGAGTGGGGCGGTTCCCATGTTCGGGGGTAAGGACCTAGCAGGAGAATGCACAGCCTTTCTTCTTGGCTCACGCAGCCAAAAAACAAAAAACAAAACACACCTACTTGGAGCTTCAGGAGCTTCAGAAGGAAACTCCTCCAGTCTCTGCAGCTCCGTCTCCTTCCGGAGCCAGGAAGGTAACGAGATGAGGAAGACGGGCCAGGTGTAAAAAGTTCTTCATCTCCACAAAGAAATTTGCCCTCTCCAATTTTTAAGATGGCATAATAGGCCTTTCGTTTCCCTACTTTTGATAAAACCATAGATTCAAGAAGAGTTCGATTTCCTCAAGTTATTTATAAGAACAATAATGGCACGACATAGTGCCAGTTTGCAAGCCGTGTCCTGTGAGAAGGGTGGCCATCTCGGCCCACACAGCCCCAGCAGCCAGGAAGCGAGGTGGGACAAAGGTCACACCCACACTGAGCCTTTGATTGACTGAGCACCCAGCCGTGTCACCAGCCCTGTGCAGAGAGAGGCCTTGGCCACCGCCCCTGCCCAGCCTCTCTGTTTCCTGGCAGAGATGGCCTCCCCTTCCCCTCCCCGTGACGGCACGCAGGTGAGCTCAGGCAGAGGATGGGTCACCTCGGAGGGGGCACGCTGGTGGAGGGCCCAGGCCCCTGCCTGGGCCACCTGAGAGTCTTTCCTCTGAGTTAATCAGCTTCTTCCTCTAAAAGGCAAGTGCTCCTCGGACAAGGACATCTGCGTCCCCGGCATATACTGTGATTTTTGTCACGCTCACTCCTCTGTAGAAGAGAGCTGCGTGGAGCTGAGGCGCCCCTGGGGCCTGTGGCCTTCCCGCGCTCCGGGCTCCTCCAGCACGGAGCACAGGCTGTCAGAGGAGCACAGGCTGTCAGAGGAGCCGAGCTCAGGAGACAAGGTTCTCTTACCTCGTTTTCTGCCTTTCCGAAAGGACCGACCTTTTGAGCAAGTATGTAAACACATTTATTCATTTTCGACAAGGTAATTTTTTAAATAAATCCTGTCGCCTCAGAATAACTCGCAAGATACAAATTAAAAACCATTCCATTGGGGGCCGGCCCGTGGCTGGGCGGTTGAGTGCACGCTCCGCTGCTGGTGGCCTGGGTTCAGACCCCGGGCGCGCACCGAAGCACCACTTCTCCGGCCATGCTGGGGCCGCGTCCTAGACGCAGCGGCTGGAAGGATGTGCAACTATGACACAACTATCTATTGGGGCTTTGGGGGAGAAAAAAAGGAGGAGGACTGGCAATAGATGTTTGCTCAGAGCCGGTCTTCCTCAGCAAAAAGAGGAGGATTAGCACAAATGTTGGCTCAGGGCTGATCTTCCTCACAAAAAAAAAAAACATTCCATTGGGCCAGCCCTTTGGCATAGTGGTTAAGTTTGGCGTGCTCCTCTTCTGTGGCCTGGGTTTGCACATTTGGATCCCGGGCGCAGACCCACTCCACAAACAAAATAGAGGAAGACTGGCACGGATGTTAGCTCACGCCAAATATTCCTCAGCAAGAAAAAAACCATTCCATTGTTCAGAAAAGGCTGCAATGTAAAGATCTATGGCATCAGTGAGCTGATCCAGTTACAAAACGAGGCAGGAACAAAGGCGCTGGAAGGGGATTAAACGTGTGTTTTGTTGAGTCCTCAAAGGAGGCTGCATCCAGACTCTGCTCCCTGTGGGAGCCCACATTTGCCCACTGCCTTGAAGTGCTGCGGAGGGCGTGACTCCCGGGTGAGGCGGAACTGGGCTCCACGTTCAGCAACTTCATTAACCTTCAGCTCAGTCCTTAGCTCGTGAAGCCACCACGGGGCTGTAAGGACTTGTGGGGGACAGTGTAGTGAAAGGGACCACTCCAGGCCTGGGCCAGAATAGGGCTCCATAAACAAGAGTTTATTTACCTTCCCTTGCAGATGAATCGGTATTCACTACCTCACTTTTTATGTGATGATTCCCATCAGGAGGACTGCTCAGAGGAGAGCATTAAATTAGACGATGGAGAAAAGGAATAGAAAATAAACCAGTTAGGTGAACGAGACAAAACAGCTAGAGATTAAAAGAACCTGAAGAACGGGTCCTCTGCATGCTTAGTGGGGAGAAAAAAGATTGGTGAGACGTGTAGAATATGGTTAAATTCTCATACCAGGGAAATGTAGCCCTGTTCTTGGGTCAATTGTCACTCTCTTAAATATTTTTATAGCACATCATCGTTTATTATTGAAAAGACAGTGAAACAACCCTGAAGTATATTATGAAAAAAAGGAAAGCCACCTGTACTCCATCATCCCACCACCATCTGTTTTTGAAACATTGGTCTTTGAAGCACCTGGAGCTGCTCAGGCACTGGGGAAACTAAGGCACAGAGTGAGGCCAGGTTTAGGCAGCCACATGGTAACAGGGCCAGAGTAGGCCCCAGGCTTCCTGACGTCATCTAGTCTCTTCCTGTTCAGCAGCTGTCGGACTGTGTCCACAACGGTGGTCTCCAGAGAAAGGACTGTGCCACAGGCCTGGGAGGAAGGTTCAGAGGAGGAACATTGATAGGTGATTAAGAACTTGGAAGGGAAGCCTGGGACGAAAAGGTGCGAGGTTGATTCTGCCTGTGTTTATAAAGGAAATGTGAGGAATTAAATCTGGTTTTAAGTAAGAAATTTCAGACTCCACAAGGGTGATCAACTGTTCTCCATCTCCACCAGCTAGATCAAAAGGAAACCTTAAACAGAGCCACAGGGATTGGGGCCAGGGTAGGATGGGGAATTTCCTTGCCTTTCCCCAAGGCTTGACAGTCAGAGGTTGAACCAAACCCTGAATGTTGAGATTCCAAACTGTGAGTCGTAGGCGTTGGAGAGCAGGGCGAGGAGGTCAAAAGGAAGGAGACAGACTGACCGCAAGGGCTATCATCTTCCATTGGCAGCAACACAGCGGCACCAAGTGGGATCAAGTGTAATTGCAATTATGACCATCTTTCCAGAACCTGTTTACATTGCAGCAATGAAGTCACCTCACAGAATGTTAATTATATATCAAGCGTTGCTAGAAATGCCAGGAATTACCTGTGCTGCTTTGATGGGCACCGGGAACTATGAGTACTTGCCAGAGGAGAACCTCAGTCCGTATGCAGAAATCTCCATGACTTGGAAGCCAAACCAGGCCCACCTGCCTGATGGCTTATTTTCATTCATTCAGCAAACATCCATTGGGTGCCTCTCATGTGCCAAGTGCTGGCCTGGCCACTGGAGATAGGAAGACAGAAAGGCCTCTAGAAGTTCACAGGCAGGAGGGGAGATGGGTGAGCAAAATTGCAACAGTGTGATTGCTGCCATCATGACGATGTTTCCACCAAGTGGTAGGAGCCCTGGGGAAGTGCTGCTGTGTGGCTTCAGGAGGCCACGGAAGTTTTCACAGAAGAGGCAGAAATTTGGCTGAGACTCCAAGTGCAAAGTGGACAGTGAAAGCATTGGTTCAGTTTGGGAAACAGGGAGTTTTAGATACCTGCAGAATATCCAGGGAGAAGCGTCTGACAGGCAGCTTGCAGGAAAGGTTTGGAGGTCAGGAGAGCCTTCTTAGACGGAGACAAGCTTTGGGAGTAGT